AACCCCAGAGGGCCCACAGATGACACTTTAGAAAAAATCAACAGAGATCTCAAATATGCCCACAGACCTCCCTTTCATACAGAGGTTTTGTTACCAACACGGTGTGAGCCCAAGGCAGTTGCTGGTCCATGTCTGTACTCCTAGGGTTCAAATCTGGACCCTGAGCTCTGACAGCCTTGGTGTGCATCTGGGCAATGCTTTGAGCTGTGTTAAGGACCAGAGAGACAAGACCCAGCCCTGGGAGCTCACTACTCAGGCTCAGACTATCTCAGACCAGTGAAAACTGACTCAAGATCTCTCCAACTCCTCCTAAAGATCCACTTTACATTTCCTGAAAAAATGTCTCTTTGTGTAGAATATTTTCTGGAAAACCCAGACATGTTCAATGAGTCTGAGACTATATCTGAGCAGATGCTTCTACAGGCAGTACTGAGAGATGTAAGTAGCTGACCCTTCCCACCCGAGACTTCAGACAAGAAACATTATTTTGCTCTCAAATGTGTTCAGAATCTACGGGTTGCTCATGTGGCCCTGCCCCGTGCTCATTCATTTTGATCCTGATTTGTCTGTCTAACCTCAAGGCAGTCTTTATTCTGTCTTTCTGGCAGCCATATGAGTTCATGTATAGATGAAAACAGACAGGAGTAGGGGATCAGCATGGAGTGATGCTAGGCCAGGCTGAGGGGTGCATGGCTCATGGGTAACTAACTCCCTCCTCTTGCACTCCTGGAGGGAGGCTGGCACTGGTCAGGAGAACAGCTGTGGAGAGAGACAGCTCAGTGGGATCGCTGGAGCTCATCAAGGTGCAGGGGCTCTGCTCACTGGATGTAGGTTTCCTTAGGTTCCCTCAGATGCTGTGCCAGCCAGCCAGGGGGTAAAGTCCAGAACAGAATTATGGACTAGAGTTATATAGGCCAGGCTGGACTGTAGATATGCACTCTATGATTCACACAGTATTTTTAAAAATTTATATTAGTTCCCAATATTTTTTAAATAGAAAAACATTTTCAATTTGAATTCCTAGCTTCTTGTGAAAAATGGGAATGTCTAGTCTCACTGGGCCTCCACAGGTGGTCAGCTTGAGCTGGGTAGCAGCTGCCACCTTTAGACAGGACATATTTAGTATGCGGGATTATCAGGAGCTGCCTGGAGAGGTGGGGGGAACACTGAGCCTCCAGACAGTCAGGAGGCCCCACGCAGAAATAGGAACAAGGTCTGTGTAGCACTCCTCAGGTCTTTGGGCAGGCTTGGCTCAGGGGCTGGCAGAAAGGCAATTGTTTGCCTCTACTCTCTGCCTCTAGGCCATGAGTCATTCTTGCTTCTACCACCTGAAGCCAAGAGCCCTGCAGCGCAGGATATCTCAGTCAGGCCGGGCAAGTCACTGCCCGCCCCCAGTTTGGAGGATGGGCATGTACTCCAGTCCCTGATGGCATTGCATCAGCACTGTGGTGCAGGAACTGAGTGTCTTTACAAACAGCCTCAAGCAGATGGCAGGAAAGCAGCAACCATAGTGGAACATTCAGCTTTAGGAACTGAAACTGGGAACTCAAAGATAACAAGCTCCGGTACCATCAAGCCTAGCAAAATGTAAGTGGGAGTTGTGACTTGAACTCACACATTGTTAAGAAAGGAATATCCCACGCTCCTATCACCTTACCCTTGAAAGACTGAGAGAGCACAGTGAAAGCCTTTGGGCATAAAAATAAATTGGTCAAGTTCAGGAAGATCTTTAAAATCCAGAAGTGGCAAATAAAGAGCTACCATACTTCAAAATATACAAGACATCCCCCTCTACAGCACATAAAAACCACATGCCTGGCAGCTCACTCTTAGCACAGAAGAAAGATTTGGAATGAGCAGAACGTAAAGGGTAACTTGGCTTAAGACCCAAGTCTGAAATTCCATCCATGGAATAACATGTACAGAGACAAGTCAGCCTCTCCCCAGGCAGTGCTGGGCCCCAACTCAGACACCTTGACCTTGACAAAGACTGACAATGGAGCTGTCCTGTCCCATAAGAGAAGCCAGCACAGGCGGGTGGGTAACTTGGGCACACGAATGCACCATCCTCTGACCTCCAACTGTGTCACTTGCCAGGCACCACCTTCCTGAAACATCAACCATTTGACATTTCTCTGACTCGTTCCCTTCCACATTCAACACTTCCTGGTCTCTTTCAGGGTTGTTTGCAGCACTCCATTATCTTCTTCTCTTAACCCTTCCACCTCAAAAGCACATCTCATGCAGATTGGAATATACACACAATCCAGTGGATTGTTTTATGCATTCTTTGTGAAAATGCTTTTTCTATCATTTGGGATTTTTTTCCCCATGAGGTTATTTTCTTTCCTGGGTTTTCCAAAGGACAATTCAACTAAAAACAAAACGAGTGAAAACAAAAACCACTTGGGGTTAGATGGTGGTGCCACAGTAAAACAGGACGCTCTGCAAGGCTAATCTATGCAGGAAAGTTCTGGGTTCACATCTGGCAGACTACAGGCTGGCTGGTAACATGTCACTGCTTGGGGTCTGTCTCTCTGTCCATCTCTTTCTCTCTCGGAAAAGAAAGAAACTAAAAACAAAACAAAACAAAAAAACTAAACATCTCAATTCCAACTGCTTTTGCTACTCAGATTTCCAGGGAATATGAGGAAGAGAAATAGCATATAATCTACATAGAAAAATCAGATGGAGCCAAGAATGTGGTAACTTATTAATCAGCAATGAAAAGATAACAAACGAACAACTTCTGAGCTGCTGGAACTAGTTTTTATGAGGACACGTGCATAAAAATACGGACTGAAGGTTCTTTTAAATGCTGTTTGCTTTTTTCTTTTATGTTCTTTAAATGCAGTCAAACAAGCACTGAAACTAAGATGTGTATCCTCAGACCAAACGTCAAATGCAAAGCCTGTATTCATTACTATAATGTCTAGAATCAATTTGAATCTTATGGTAATCACAACAATAAAAAACTGTCAGCGCTTTGGGGAAAAAAGATTATACACAGTCGTGTAATTGGATCTACTCATTTAAAGAGACTTACATTCATTGTTTAAGTAATTGGTGAGCATCTTTTATGTGCCAAGTAGTAAGCCAGGAGCTACAAAGTATACACACATACATTTCATGGTGTCATTTTCAAAATAACTGAAAATGCAAGAATGTTTTAAGGTAAGGAGATCCATTCATTAGATATGTCATATGTGAAATATATATACATATAGATAGATAGATAGATAGATTTTATTTATATATATATACATTTCATTAAAAAATCTAATTGGCTTCTCAACAGATTCTGTAAAGATGGTTGATAAGAATTCACCACCTCTTCCTAAGAAATACAGCTCATTATTCGCAATACAGTAAAACTATGCAGAAGTAGAATGCTTAGCCAATTATGATACTTTCACTCAAAAAAAAGTAAGTACTAGTGAAAAATGACTATATAGCAAAATTATAAATAGAAAAGCCACTGTATTATATAAAGCATACAAAATCAGAGGATTAATTTGCTTCTCTGAGGCGAGTACAGCTTTGTAAATTGTATGCGCATATCACGAAGACGGAAACAGCATAAGCCATGTATAAATAGTAAGAGAACAGCTAAATATTTTCTTTTCATTTTGACACCTATTAAACTATGTTAAATTATTTATATATAATCATTTTAATCAAAGAAAACTACATGGAATGAAAGGGTCTGAGTAGAGCGATGGTGGGAAAGGGGCACAGAATAACCGACGAATTAACTCCCATGTTCCTGTGATAAGATGAGTGTGACATAAGTGCTACCTGGGAATCTGTCTAACCAGCTGAGCAGGTTATTCGTCTCAGGCCAGCCCTTCCGGGCCCTACGCCCTTTACCACTCTCAATGTTCAGGCTGGTTTCACCTGCTGGATAAACACTACACTGAGCAGCCAATCCCACCTCGGGGCAGGACCGGAAAGTGAGCGGTAGGCCGGGTACACATGGGCTGCTTCAGCCCCCGCACCCTACCTGTTGAAGCATCTCTTCAGCAGCATTGAGTTTCACCTGGTGTCCTTCCAGACACACTTCCAGGTCCCGAATCTTCTCTCCTTGGGCCTCCACTTGGTCTGTGAGGACACTCACCTGTTTCAGGAAATAAAGCAATGGTGCTGGAGCAGGGACTCACCGTAGTGCAGGAAAGTCTCCCCGCCCGAGGTGAGTGTGAAGCCACACCACTGATTCACAGGCGAGGAATAGTTTTTCTTTTCAGTGAGTGGCAGATGGGGGAAGTGTCCTGAATGGAGGAAACTCCAGTTAGTCTTTACCTTACCAGGAAGTCTCGGCCGCTGGGTGAATGATGTGGGTCACGTTTCCTGCCCTTGACAGACTCAAGAGAACACCAGCAGCCAGGAGAGTTGCTTTTGGGCTGGACTTCTGCTCCGTATCCTCTTATAGGGCAGCCCCAATCTCAAGGCACAGCCCAGCTGCCTGCCAGGGCTTCTGCCACCTCATGTGCAAGAGCAGTGCAAGCTTCTGTGCAAACTAACCAATGACCTTACCCCTCTCATCAGGGCGTAAGGACTGCTCACCTATCAGGCAAGTGTTTTGAAGCAATTAAGGAATGTGGGACGTAAAGGGCATGTATTAGCACTGACAAAACTTGGCTCCAGAAAGGTGTTTGTGCCTCACAGGCCAAAACATGACTCTAAGTCATAAATACAGGAGCCACTTTGCACATTCAGTAGCAGGAAAACAGTCCTCTTTCTGAAGAGCACTAAGAATCTCTATTGAAAAGATTAATGAAAACCCACTTACAGTAAGTTATTTAAATTTTGTGATAAATACATATGAAGATGGTTTTCATAGCCTTTTATTTTTTCAGTTTGCCAGAGGCCATAGGAAATTAAGGGAGGGAGAGAGAGAAAGCGAGAAAGTGAGAAAGCACCCCCTCCCCTCCGTGGGATGGTCATATCACAATCTCTTCTCCTTTATTTTTTCCTCTTTTTGGAGTTTTGGATATGCATGTACACACACTCTGCATGTTTTTCAAGCCACCAGTCTGGGGCTCAAATCCTGCAGTCAGCCTTGTAGGGTTCAGTTGCCCAACCACCGTGCCACCTGTTGGCCCCACAGCCTTTTCTTTTCCTTTTGTGAGAGATATTTACTATAGGGTTCATGTGCTCACCTAAGAAGACAGAAAGAGACAGACAGCAGGAAATCACTCCCTGGGGGGATGGTCCCACTGCAATCCCTTCTCCTCTCATGATTTTGGGCATGCACACACACACACCCAGCATGAGTTTTAAGCTGCCGGGTCCAGGACTCAAACCATGGTCAACTACATGGAAGTCTAGCAACATAAACATTACACCATCTGCTGGTCCTGCCCCCACAGCCTTTTCTATTAGCAAATTATCCTAGGGTCCTTTTACTTTTTTTTTTTTTCATTAAAAAACAAAGTAGGAAGACAAAGAAAGAGAATGGGGGGCAGGGGGGGTTTTCCCAAAAGAAATCAAAGCCTGATAAACTTAATCTTCAGTTCCTTTTAATTAGAGCCATTGTCATTTCCACATCATTTATCTGACCTTACCTCTCAATCTGTAAGAATGATAGAGTGCCAAAGAGTTAATGTGACTTCATCTGTGAATGCTCAAATAAACTTTATGAATTATGAAGCTCCTGTTAAAAAGGAGCTCATCTTGATATTAATGCAGCTACTTTAAGCTTTCCATTTTTATGTTCCCAAATGATGAATGAATTATTGAAATATATTCCTGGAGCTGATAGATGGTGTGCTAACATTTCCATTTGAATCCAAAAATGAGATCCTCTGTCGATTCGGCCTGTCTTAAGCACAAACCTTTGTGGGGTTTTATTGTGTTTTTTAATCCTTGGTATCCGATGCTCTCAGTAGTGCTGGCCTTTCTAAATACTAACTCTGCTTTTGAATGGGTAAGACTCCTGTGGTGGTGGTGGGGCTAGCAGGTAGCGTGGTGGTTAAGGCACTGAACTTCCACACGGGCAACCATCGTTTGAGTCCCAGACCCAGGTGACTTGAAAATCACACAAGCCACCTGTGTGCGTGTGCCCAAAATCCCAAGAGGAGAACAAAGGAGAATGAACTGTAGGATGTCCATCACCCCAGGGGGAGACTTTTTACTTTCCCTCTCTCTGTCAGTCTTTCTCTCCAGGGAGCGTATGCGCCCTGTGGCAAAAAAAAATTTTTTTAAAAAAGAAAAGGCTCCTGGAGTGGCCTTTGCTCTCTGGGATCTACAGTTCTTGTTTGGGATGGATATTTTATGGTTAATCTTATTATTATGATGAACTCTTATATGGTTTGTACCTGCCTTGGGGCCCTGTGCTGGCAGTACCCAGTGGAACAGTACATGGTCTCTAGCATTCTATAGCTCCATGGAGCATAAGACTAAAGATTTGCAGAGCCTCAGGGGCCTTACAACTTCAGCCTGAATGGAGCAGTGTAGAAAACTGGGACAAAATGCAAAAAGATCTCACAGTGTGATCGTCATTCAGTAAAAACTTTATAGAGTCCCTATACTAGGCATAATTTCAGGCAGTGTGATCGTCATTCAGTAAAAACTTTATTTTTAGAGTCCCTATACTAGGCATTATTTCAGGCACTAGGGGATAAAGAAATGAAAGGGGGGGAAAAGGATGAAAGTTCCTGCAGAGGAGTTGTGTTATAATGGTGATGTAAGAGATCTGGGGTTTGTTTTTAACTAATTCTGGAAATATTTTGTTATGTGTGACTTGTCCTGTTCTTCTCCAAGTAGACCCAGGAAGACATTCTGGGCCAAGGGAATAGCCAATTAATTAATTTAGTCTGGTTGAGCTGCTGTGTGAATTACACAAGAGGCTCTAGCAGGCTGAGTAGCTATCTAACCAGCTCCATGGGCCACTGGGGAACAGGAGTGATCGCACTGAGCAACCCTGAGAGTCTGCACAAGTTGCTGACAGAATAGAAACTATGAGGGCCAACTTTCGACTTCATTGGTGGGTAGCTTCCCAATTAGGTTAGGATTACTTAAATAGAGATTATTTGAGAATTCAAAATTTTACGAAACCATGAATGTGAAAGAGAACCGCTGCACAGGACTTCTTTATTAAATTGTAATCCTCTCTAAATAGGAATATGTTCTTTCAATCATGAAGGATCCTGGGTTTAAAAGTTTGCAATTTCATACTGTTTGCTGCAAAATTCTAAATTGGATACTCTTTCATTAATCATGTCATTGGGGTAGAGTTTCAAATTACACATCCCTCCAAACATCTGTGCTATCATGTGCTGTAAAATCTGGTCCCTGTTACCTCTCTGAAAGCGGCTCCCACATCCCTCCAGCCACAATGGCCCCTTACTGTTCTTCCCACACACTGAGCTCACTCCTAGCTCTGCGTGTGGGCTGGACACCACCTCCCCAGCCTAGAATGCACTGCTCCAGGTATCCAATGCCCCCCTTCCTAACTTCCCTTTAGGAAGGTCTGCCCTGATTGCAAAATGCTTACCCCGCTTTATTTTTCTCCGCAGAACTCATCACCACCTCAATTACTTTATGTATTGGTTTATTTTGCACACACACACACACACACACACACACACGGAAACTGTACAGTAACAGAGATGTCATCTTTCAAACGCACTGCTACCTCTCCAGCATCTAAAACCAGGGCCAACAACTCATGGACCCTCAATTATAATTAATAATGAACAAATAATTTATAATGAACAAATCAGTGAAAGGAAGAAAAAAAAAACTAGGATATAAAATTGTATATTTGGTAAGAGCTTAATTATTTTAAAGAGGCAGGGTAGACCAAAAAAATATTTTTTTAATCTGGAAGAAAAAGCCAAAAACTTAACCAACTTCTCTAAGTTCTTTTAAAATTTCCAAAGTTTCTAAATTCATTTACTGCCCTTATGTTGACAAAAAGAAAAAGATACAATAAGTAAGGTAAAAAACAAAACCAAAAACTACTGCCTAATTCTTCAAACTAAAGCCCACAGCCTGGGGAGGATGCCAGATCCCACCTGCCCCCTCCTTCATTCCACTACTGACCTTATCCAGGCTTTCTAAGGAGCTAGATTAGGATGTTAATCTCTATGTTCTCTAAATTGTGAATAATATCTGATGCGTGACAGACCTCGAGAAATGCTTGCTAAATCGATTTATGCATGTGGGAGCTAACATAGTGAGCTCTGGCTTCAGCAACAGCTTTCCTGGAAAGATCTAGCTTTATGTCCTATGAAGGACTACAAACTAAAGAGTGAAAATTTTCCTTTGGCCTTCTTTCTCCATGAAAAGTTTTGGCGTTCCTCTCTTTGAAGTAAGAGAGACATCAAAAGCTTAATCCATGTTAACAACTCCAGAGGATTTAGCATTGAATGATCAGTCTAGATCCAGCTTCAGACAGTCTGGACTCGCTCCTGTTAGCATTCCCCCTTAGGCCTGAATCACTCATTGTTCTGTTTTATTAGTGGCAGCTCCCTTACAAGACTCACAGTCTCTTGGAGGACAGACCCCATTTAGTCCACTCTTAACACCCAGTAATCAGCCTGGACACAGGGTTCCAGTGTGTGAAGGCAGGTGCTTGGGAGTATGTGAGAAATAAGGAATGAATTCACTGTCCCCCGAAGCTCAGTCCAGAGTTAAACTGTACTCACTTATTTTCTGCTTTGTTAAAAGGAAAAAGAAAGCTCCTTTTAAAAAATAGTTAGGATGTGGGGCCGATAAGTGGCGTAGTAGTTAAGGCACTGGACTCCTACAGGGCCAACCACGGTTTGCATCCTGGACATGGTGGCTTGCTTTCTCACTTTCCCTTTCCCTCTCTTTCTCTCTCTCTCTCCGGGTCTCTCTCTGGTCAAATTAAAAAATAATGACAAATAAGATAAAATAAAATAATTCTTAAAAAAAAAATAGTTAGGAAGAAGAAAATTCCAATAGAGAAAACCTTTTGTGTTTCCATTTCATGTAAAGGAAGCTACCTAGTTAGAAGTATCAAGAAGTTGGTTCCCATCAAAAAGGACCTACCTGTAAAATGAGGGACTCCTTATCTCCTTCTAGACGTGCCAAGCGTTCCTGGTAGGTTTCATTACTAGCAGCACCGTGGTTATTTACTTGGGACTAAATGAGGGAGAGAAAATAATACACTTAAAATGTTATAAAAACATCTTACTGACGTCCAAACGGAATATGCGATGTATGCAATTTGTCAGGACAGTCTTACTGATTATATATACAAAACCACCCACCAAAACAGGAAATCACACGGTTTCAAAAATACTACGAGAAGGACCAGACCACATGCCACTGAAAGGTGTGTCTTAGAAGTTGGCACAATCACCCCCAATGATCTCACCCTTGACCGCAGGAGGGGGTTGCTCAGTGGAGCCCCAGACGCAGACCCAGCGGAGTTTGACTTGACTGGACATGCTGGGTCTGCTTTAGCTGGAGGCACAGCCTGCCCGAGGCCCAGCAACAATAAGGATCTACTCTTTGAGGAGACTGGAGAGTGGTACTGTCCACTGAGAAACTGGGTTAGAACCACTCCTGTACAGATCTTGGTGTCTCCTAACTCTCATGCCAAGGTTATGAGGAGCCATAGAAGGTGCACCTTGCAGCATGGTGCCTGACATTATCATCACAGTGGAGGCTGGAGGATGGCAGTGACAACTGCAAGGCCCTTCATCTACTTACATGTCCCTCCTATTCCAATCCCACCTCCGATACAGCTTTGGCAGCTTGGCTGAGAGAGTGTTAGAGCTAAGAGAAACAAACTAAGGTGAAACATCTTGAGAAAAATCTAAATAACAGCCTGAGGGGGTAAGCAGAGAGAAAACACAGGAAATAGAAAGTAGCCAGAAACTCAAGAAAACAGAGGAGAAAGAGAGAGGATGGGAAATGGCAGGAGAGACAGAATCTTAACGTGTGCCCTGAACTAGAGACAGGAGCTGTCACTTTCTAGGGTACATCTGGCCAGGTTGTGGTCACAGAAGAGAGACAGAGCTGCTAATGAGCACTGGGTTGGCCCAAATGTCACCAGTACTTGCTTCTTCCATGCCAAATGGAAAGCTGAAACCAGGGACTCAAGTGGGCCACCCAGAGGCCTGGCAAGCTGAAAAAAGAGATCTTATTGCTAAACGAGGAAGTGATGATTGTGATCATCTGCATTGCTCCAGTAAAATCTATGCTCCCATATTCATGAGGCAGGTGTCCGCCACCCAGAGGACGGTCATGGTTGTACAAAGTGGCAGGTCAGAGAGGCCCAGAGCAGGCCCAGCTTGTCCTGAGCCCAGTTCCCCATATCTCAACTTTTAATTAGCAATAATCGCGCCTCGGATAAACCTCATTGGCTACGATACTGCCACTGCGCAAAGCTAATATCTCAACTTTTAATTAGCAATAATCGCGCCTCGGATAAACCTCATTGGCTACGATACTGCCACTGCGCAAAGCTAATATCTCAACTTTTAATTAGCAATAATCGCGCCTCGGATAAACCTCATTGGCTACGATACTGCCACTGCGCAAAGCTAATATCTCAACTTTTAATTAGCAATAATCGCGCCTCGGATAAACCTCATTGGCTACGATACTGCCACTGCGCAAAGCTAATATCTCAACTTTTAATTAGCAATAATCGCGCCTCGGATAAACCTCATTGGCTACGATACTGCCACTGCGCAAAGCTAATATCTCAACTTTTAATTAGCAATAATCGCGCCTCGGATAAACCTCATTGGCTACGATACTGCCACTGCGCAAAGCTAATATCTCAACTTTTAATTAGCAATAATCGCGCCTCGGATAAACCTCATTGGCTACGATACTGCCACTGCGCAAAGCTAATATCTCAACTTTTAATTAGCAATAATCGCGCCTCGGATAAACCTCATTGGCTACGATACTGCCACTGCGCAAAGCTAATATCTCAACTTTTAGAAAGGACTCTCCAACCTCCCTCCATGAGCAAAGGGCACCTCCTTCCTCAGCTCATACCATGCCTCCCATCACTGCCTCAGTGAGGTCTATACCCGGCCCTAGGACAGACATGGGAATTGAACTTTCTGCAGGCAAACCCTGGAGTCTCACTAGTGCAAGAAGCATTGATGACTCCCTGAAGGTACAGTGGGAGGGAGAGCCCAGTGGCCACATCCCAGGACAGCTGTGCCAGGCATCCTGGATGGCACACCACGCCCGCTGCCACACCGCTGCCTTTTCCTCCAGGCTCTCTCAAGCCTGCCTCTTGTTCACTGTGAGAGAAGCTCTTTCATGCTACAGACAAAGGGCCTTAACAATCACAAATGACTTCTTTGTGCATGGCAGTTTATTGTTGTTCCATTAATTAATATTCCAGTTCTCACATGGCCAAACTCTCTGACTAGCTCCGAGGATATAGTATAACCTCGATTTTCTCAGAACACAAGGAAAGAGAGGAACATCTTTTCTTTTTCTTTTTTTTTTTCTTCTTTGAGAGATATTTTTGCTACAGGGCATAGGTGCTCTCTGGAGAGACAGAAAGAGACAAAGAGACAGAAAGTGAGAAATCACCCCCCAGGAGGGATGGCCACGCCACAATCCCTTTTTCTCCATTCTCTTAGAATTTTTGCGCGCACGCATACACACACACACACACACACGCCCAGAGTGAGTTTCCAGTCTCCAGGTCTAGGACTTGAACTGCAGTCACCCACTTAGGCGTCTAGCGCCTTAACCACGACACCACATTCTGGCCCCAAGAAGGAAATAATTTTTAACAGTAGTTTGAATTCCTCTCTGCCAATGAATGCACATAATGGTGATTATCAGTGGACAGAGAGACTAGAAACAGACCCAGGCCTCCAAGGGAAGCTCTGTACAGGAACCCTAGTGCAGTCAGAGTGCACAGCTGCCAAGCACCAGCAGCTGGCGTTTCTCCAACAGGAAGTGAAGGGGAGAAGACCAAAGGGATGACTGCTTCCACAGACAACAGCAGCCACCCTCCAACTGTGCCTCATTCAATAGTGAGCAGTATGTGCCTCATTCCAATAAAAGGTTGACTTATACAATCACCCAGACAGCTGTTGTTACCAGTTAGCCAAAATATAAAGAAAAGAAAGTTGAAGTTCTGGGACCAGCAGATGGTGTAATAATGGTTACATCACTGGACTCCCATGTAGTCAACCATGGTTCGAGTCCCAGACATGGCAGCTTAAAATTCATGCTGGGCACATTTGGGTGTATGCCCAAAATCCCGAGAGGAGAGTGGAGAAAGGATTATGGCATGGTCACTCCCCCTGAAGGGTGATTTCTCATTTTCTGTCTCTCTGTCTCTGTCTCTCTGGTGAACACAGGTGCCCTATAGGCTCCCAAAAATAAAGTTCTAAGTTCAGTTTTTATATGGAATGTATGCTATAGAGTCTAGAATAAAATGGGTCGAGGCGTTGACAGGTGGCATGAAAATTGAGGTGCTGGACTCCCACGTGGCCAACTGCAGTTCAAGTCCGGACCTAGTATCTTGCTTTCTTACTTTCCCTCTCTCTCTTTTTGTCTCTTTCTAGTCAAATTAAAAAATAATAATAAATAAAAATAAATAAGTAAAAAGTTTTTAAAGAGGTTTTTGCCTCAGGGCACACCCACTTACGGGAGAAAGAGAGAGACAGACAGACAGTGAGAGGGAAAGTGAGAAATCACTCCCCAGTGGGGATGGCCATTCTTCAATCCCTTCTTCTCCATTCTCCTCCTGGGATCTTGGGCAGGCAGGCACACATACCCAGTGTGAGTTTCAAGTCACCTGGTCTGGGACTTGAACCGTGGTCAGCCATGTGGGAGTCCAGCAATGTAACCACTACACTATCGCTTGCCATAGTAAACAATTCTTTAAAGAAAAGAAAAAAAAGGAAAGAAAGAAAGAAAGAAAGAAAAGGAATGGGTCAAAAATCTCAGTCCACCAGAGCCACCAATCAGTTCAAAGGTGCACACATTGGCCTGGTGAAAATCCAATGGCCTACCTGAGAGAAACACAGCTATTCCTGAACAAGGGAGAAACTGCTCTTGTTCTCACAGGGACACTTTGTGCCATGGGATAAACAACACCCATGACGACATCCTTACAGTAAACAGAGCCCAGCAAAACGCATTGTTTTTATATGATGCTTTTAGAACAGATCAAAGGCTAGTGGATAAAATGCACTGAACACCTAGGCAATTGTTTAGAGATCACACAATATGGTCTAAACACAGTTTTGTGAGCACACAGCAAGCACTTACCTGGCACACACCTGCTAGGCCCAGCTCTTAGCACTTGACCTACATCAACTCACTTCATCTATTCCACAACCATGTGAGAGAAATACTATGTTTATTCCCATTTTACAGAAAACAGATGTGGAGAGTGGACAATCTGAACAAACATGGTTACCTTTAGACACATGCAGAAACATGGTACCATGAGCTTCATTTGCAAAGTGATGAAAGCATTTGCATACAATAACCCTAACTGCCTGTGGTCGATACTGCAAAGCAGTACCAGGTTAAAGGAAGTCACATATGTTTATCGGATTTCACCCCAAAAAGATCAGAGAAACTACATGGCGCCAGTTGTTTTCATTTCTTCAGACGAATTACATCCCCAAACAACTGGCTTTGCATTCCATTTCCTCTTTCCTCATTTTCTGCCCTTTAAAAGAATAAACCTGAGGCTGATTTGAGGTTGTGGCTTTTCATCAGAGAAGATGGGTCTACCTGACCCTCACTTTGCTTTACTTGCATGTCTTTGTGTGTTTATTTTGATGTTTATTTCTAATCCATTCAGAAAAGAGTGTTCGGCCAAGCGGGTCCCAGCAATCGAGGCATAAAAGACATTAAACAGCACAAATGGATAATTTGCCCAAGTTATTATCTAGGAATTGAGTATGCTTTCTCTTGTCAAAGTTTTCTTACAGTTCACTTTCTATTGTTATATAGAGACAGATCAAGAGCAAATATTATTTTACATATTGGGATTGTATGAGAATTTATTTAAAATAAGGTTTGGAAAATGCTGTCTGAAGCTAAATATCTATGAATAGAGGAATAGCTAAATAAACTATGGTTTATTTATATTATAGACAACTTGTAGCATTTTAGAACATGAGATAGATATT